ATTACTTCAGCCAAATAGCAGGTTACTTCAACTTCCAGTAGCCAATTTTAATAAAGATTTTCTGAGGTAACGGGTTACTTCACTTAAATATTGCCAAAAACCTATTATTTCTCTGCTACGGGGTTGTCACTTTTAGACCCCAAAAACCAGTTTATGAGCACAAGAAAACACGTCAAATTCCACAATTTCTAACACATATAATGCATTACATTCCTAATCCATTTAGGTCACCAATTTCATCATTCACATTCAATTATAACAATCAATTCAAGAACAACCTACACCAAAACCGAACATTCACATCCCTACATACCCGCTATTATACCACGTATTAGAGAGTTGAAACCTCACCCTTACCTTGGATTGGAGATTTCCTAAGCTCCAACAATGGGTTCTCCCTCTCTTGCTTTTTCTCCCTTCCTTGCTTCAACTTCTGAGAACACGATTGTTTCAAATGATCGTTCTTACTCTCTTTTCTCTCTTTTGACTAGAATAGCCCTTGCGCCCCTAAATCATAATCCTAGAGCAGAAGCTCAAGTCCGGGCTAATGAGGCACATGCATCTGAGCATTTAATTTTATTTATGCAGTGCTAGATAACGAGCACTTCCCCATATATGTGAGCGGAAAATCTAGCGTGTCCCACCTAGTGTTCCATGTGCGAGGAGATGGAAGGGCAAGCAAGCTCTTCCCGAAGGTGTGATGGAGTACAGGAGGAGGCTTGACCCTGATGGTGAGATTTATACATGTTTAGCTAAGTTAGCGAACATAGCCCCTGGGGGCATATGTAGATTTGTTTTATTTTGGTTGTATTATATGTATATTTTGTGATACAGAGACTTCTTATTTATTACATAATATTTTGATGATTACATATTTCGATTCGAAGATGAACATAACATTAAACAGTAAAACAAATATAAATTAGGAAAAATTAAACATGAAAACCTAGGCACTATCAGATGATTCTGGGTTTCAACATCTTGATCATGTCGTCGACATATCTTGTTATTTGCGCATCCAAGTCGATCGTTCATTTAGTTATCCTACGGCAAAATGATTTTCATATGGCCTTCACATCTTCATCGGTCTTCAACTCAATCAAGTTGTATTTTACCATTCCATTTTTATCAATTCAATCTTTCTGAAACTCGACATTTCTCACCCTTCTATTATCGGTATCGGACAATAATTCATTCAACTTATCCTTCAAATTATCGAAGGATGTGGTGCCATCTGGAAGTTTGAATTCAACAGGAGAGTTGTTTCCGTTGAAATATATTTCTGCCTTAATCAGAAATTGAGGAAGAGGCGTTTTTTGAGATGTCTTTCTCTAAACCCTAAATGTCTCTATTTATACAAATGACAATATATTCTAGATCACACAAGATTATCGGTGTAATCAAAACCCTCCAAAAATAACGGCAAAATCGTGATCGTTAAAAAAAGTTTGAATAAATGAACTACTGAAAATTTTTGTATATTTCAAATTTTCTGTAATATTTGATAAATTTGAAATTTTTGAAATATCGAAAATTTAAAATATAGTACCGAAAATTTTAAAGAGGTCCTACCGAAAATTTACTATGTACTAAAAATTTCTAGAATAATAAAAATTGATGAAGTGTAAGATTAGGGGTGTCATATTAAAATCTCATATATCTAAGCTGAAAAATAAAATTTAAAATTTTGACAATTATTTTGTTATATACAACGTAAAATATATTTCAGTAACATGGAATTTTGTTCGTAGTCCTCTAAAATTTTGATTATTTTTTTTTATTACGCTAGCGACTTTGATAGAAAACGTTAATCAATTCTTTATCCTTAAACGAAAAGAAAATTTGTAAAACTATCAATAAATTTAATATTACAGCTAATTCTTTTTAATTTCTTTGATTTACTCAAATATTAGTATACATATTCTAACATTTCATTTATTTTGATGTATTTGATAGAATGAGAACACGTTTTATAGAAATGAAGGAATAAGATAACTTGAAACATAATTTGAATCTGATTCCTTGAATCTAATTCCTTTACCCTTTGTGGTTATAACATACTACTCTTTAGCTATTTTTTTGAAAGTAGAAGATAATTATGTAGATATGGGACCATAGTTCACTTTCATAGTAAAATATAAAAGTGATTTGGTTTTTTCTTCACTATCAATACGATATTAAAATTATTTATTTTTTCGTAAAAAGAATTACGTGATTCAGTACTAACTTTACATGGTCCAACCTATGGGACCAAAATAAAATGCTGGATAAACTTTTTCTAAACACTTCTTTTGTTCGATTTATATGTAAGTTTGTGTAAGGACAGTTTTGAAATATAAAGAAACTTTAACCATATCCGGTTAATTTCTTCCTCAATTTCTTGCCGACTTAAAAAAACCTGTTCATTTCCCTTTCTGTTGGGATTCATTATCTCTAATGGGTCTCAATCCTTTAGAAAACTAGTGAATGACAATGTTGCTCAACTTGCAACGCCACATGTGAAATTGTGGGTAGAATGACGAGTGCTACTTTGACACCAAATCTTTACAATTATACGTAATATAATATTCACGTATCACAGATACCTGAATAGTATTTTTATTATTATTTTAATTTTTTAATATTTTTTCTAATAATTATAATTTTACGGAATGCATAACTACCATTCATACATTACAACCAATACAATGCATAAATTTTGTGTAAATTGTTCATTTTTCTTCTTTATCAGAATATGTATCTCCAATATTCGGACTACACAAACATTAAAAAAATCACTTTCAAAACAATTGTCTTTAACGGTTGATGAAATTTTTAGAAGAAAAACAAAAACTGAGTTATTGATGTGTTAAGGAGAGTAGAGGCATACACTATCATGTGCCCCAAATTTGGCAAGCCGCGTTCTGTCACTATGAAGAGGCGACAAGTAGTAACTGGTGGATGTAATTAATTCAACTTAAAAAACCTAATCATTAAAATGCAACGCAAGTATAAAATTAAGATTGAAAATGCCTAAAAAAAGAGGAGTGTTAAGGTAATAACTAAAGCAATTTCGAGCTTTTTATTCTTGTCCAGTTGCAAAATCCAATTTTGGTCTTGAAAACCAGCTTTGCATATGCAAATTTTCTTTAAAATAAATTGGATAATGATTGCCAATCCCATTACCTCACTTAAATAGAAAGAACCAATTTTGATTTGACCCAAAATATGAATAAATGGGGATGGAATAAATTAAAAGTGTTACTCAGCAACTAAAGAGGGGAAAACACGAAAACACACATCAATGTTACTTCACAAACAAATTTAGTGACTAATTTTGAAATAAAAACTAAAAAAAGATTTCATAGAGAAAGTTACAACTTTAACAAAACATACACTGTCAAATTGTATAGGCCTAATATATATAGTGGAAGGTAACAGAAATCATAATGGGGCAGAATCGAAATATCATTCCATCTTATGGGTATTTTTTATAATAAAACATGACAAACTCGATTCATAAAAGTGATGGAATGGAATCCATATCATTTCATTTATGAAAGTAATAAATGTGATGATGAAATGAAATATGGTAAGGGATGGAATGAAGTATGGTAAGCGATGAGATAGAATGAAACCCATATCCATTTCACTCTATCCGATTTTAACTAATCCAATCAATGGAATATCACTTCATTCCATCCCACGAGACTTTATTTCATCAAATCCCACAAGACTTTATTTCATCAATCCAAACATAGTCTGGGTTCAAATCAAATGAGGACAGGATACCAATCTGGTATAAGATCAAACATTGGGCAAACCTCTAAAAGTACATGGGGTCAACTCAAATGGTCAACTCAAATGGGGACAGGATCACAATCATGTGTAGACGAGATCAAAAGATTTCACAGTAGCTCATTACTACAAAACTTAAATGTAACACACAATGCCATGATACCAATCTGGTATAAGATCAAACATTAATTGCTTAGCTGGCAAACCTCTAAAAGTACATGGGGTCAACTCAAATGGTCAACTCAAACAAGGACAGGATCACAATCATGTGTAGACGAGATCAAAAGATTTCACAGTAACTCATTACTACAAAACTTAATTGTAACACACAGTGCCATAGTAACTCATTACTACAAAACTTAATTGTAACAAACAATGCCATGAGACCATTTACTACATCTTGAATTATTGCCAACATGTGAAATCAATTGAAACTCTATAAACAAGAGCATAACAACAACAAAGCTAAGTCGATAGAAATAAGCTGTTGTATAAAAAGGATCCTCAATATTAATTCAACAATACAAAGTTGATAAACTAACAAAAACCTTTTTAAAATTTCTGCAAATAAAAACGGGAAGAAAAAAAATGACACAAAAACCCACATATTAATGTTCCTGACTAATTTTGAAAATCCAAAAAATAATGGTTCATATAATATGAAATATGAAAGTAAGTGATGGAATGGAATCCATATCACTCCAGGTAAATGACACGAAATATGAAATAGAATAAAATATGGTATGTGATGAGATGAATGGATAAAACACATATTGTTTCATTTCATTCAATCCGATTTTAACTGATCCAAACAATGAAATATCACTTCATTTCATTCCATACAACTCTATTCTATAGAATAAAACAGAATAAGTAAGAGATCAAACATTAGAGAGATTTGATTTCACTTAATCCATTACTACAAAATTGTTACACACTATGCTATGAGAACATTACCATTATCATGTATTATTGCCAAAATATGAAATCAATTGAAACTCTATAAACAAAGATATAATAACAACGGTAAGACATAATAGAAATAAGCTTTTATATAAAAAGGATCTCAACATTAATTCTACAACACGAATTGATAAATTAACAAAAAAAAACATTGTCAAATTTCTGCAATAACTGGAGAAAAAAAGTTTTCTTCAAACATAACCACCTCTCATCATCCTACTGCAGAAACCTAACCTTAGCAATCCAAAGAAAACGGCTCTTCAACGGTACTGCAAACAATAATAAAACAACATTAATCATAAACAATAGTATTAACAATTGAGGACAACACATTGAAACAAAATATTAACCTTGATGAAACCAATTTCCTTGGCATTGCTATGGAAGCACTGCCTACAGCACATGAGTCCATACTTCCTAATCAATCCATGTGAATTCCCACACACACGGCTGCAAGCAATAAACAAACAACAATAATCAAAAACACAATCATCAACCCTAACCAAATCAGAGATATAACGAAAAGAGATAGATTCAGAAACCCTAAATTTGCGAAATTGTGATTTGAACATGAACATACCAAGTGCGTGAACCAGGACCGTAGGTCTTGGGGTGAGAATTCCAAACGTTGCTGTGTCCCATGGCTGATTGCTTTTTGCTTGATTCTCGCCGGTGAGACCAAACGACGCCGCTGCTGTAGATTTCTGCGAAAGTGAAAGAGTTCTCAAATCTGCAAATACTATTTATACCGAAAACGAAATTAGGTTTTCTGTTTTGTTTTCTTTGGGTCATGGGTAAAATATTAACTGGGCTGAAATGTTGGCCCAAACTAATTTTGTGTTTGTTGAAAGTGCAAAACATATGGAAAACTCAAAACTTGATTTTTCAAAAAAATACAATCATAAAAACTTTTTGTAAATAAGTTTTATATTAAAAGAAATCACTAGTCATAGTTGAAATGTGTAAGCAACTATGGAACTAAGATTAATTTAAAAAGTTTAGGAAAAAATATTTGTTACGGATTTTAAATTTTTTCATAAAAGTTTTGAATTTTGTTTTTCTTTAAGAATCAAAATATTTTCATTTTCAATAACCATTATCTCCATATTTTGTGTGTGATGTTGCACTCAAAGAACAGGTGCTCCAAAAATTCAAAATGATCACAAAAACTACAAACATCGTCTGTTATTATTTCCAACCTTACTAATTTGTCTTTTTTGGTGAGTCATTCCATATGTTCTTTTTCTCCTCTCAAGTCTTTATAAATAGAAGCGGTTTTGTATTGTCATGTTTGTAGTACTTCTTTCTAATATTGTAACGGTTTTACTTTTTCTTGGCTTTTCAAAATATTGATTAGTATCCATGAGCATCTTTGAGTATCTTGTCATGTCATTACATTGTGATTTTTGAGATAGTGTGTATTGATCCATTTCAACCAAATCTTATCAGCTTTAGTTTGTAAGTTCCATAAAAGTTTGTATGTTGTTGCTTGATTTTATTCCAATAATGATGTAATATTTAGGCCTCCTGCAAACTTGGGGTTATATATTTTGTCCCATGTCACATGAGCTTTCCTAGTTATCTTATCTTTACCACTCCAAATAAAGCTTCTACAAATAGCTTCAGTTTTATTTATCACTTTTTTGAGATGTGGGAAGACTTACATCCAGTATGTTATAATAGTAAAGAGAATATTTTTAATCAGTTATTATATATCTGAAGGTATATGAAACACAAGAAATGGGAGTTTGGATTGGGTTTTTAGATTTGGAACTTTTTCTACCCAGCATAATCAAAGATGAAACAAGAACAAAAATAAATAAACACAAATATTTTTATCACGGTTCACTATTAACGAAGTTAATTCAGTCCCCATGCCAATGTGATTTTTCCTTTCTCAACAAGGACTTAATCCACTATAACCAAACGATTACAATCCACAAAGACTACTTACCAATATCTTCTTAAGAAATTTTGATTATACCCTAGTCACTCAAGAAACAATCAACTCAAGAGTTGAGATACAAAAGATGTGTTTACAAAATACTTTTAAGAAAGCAGACACAAGTTTAAATACAAAGATGAACATAAAAGTATTTCTAGCAAGTATATGAATGAAAAATTCTTGCTTTACATACACAAAGTTTGAGTAATTTTCTGCTTAAAAACAAGTTTCCAATAAGGAATAATGATACAAATCTTTTTCAAGTTGAGCATACATTTATTCTGCATGATTTTTTGTCAATTCGGTGCTGCTAACAAATCCTTGTGCAAAGAAGCTTCTGATATGATGTCGATTAAAATCGAAATACGGGAGAGCATTATGTATTATCTTAGGTGTATAAGAAGAAGCTACATGATGGCGTTTGTCAATCTCGATGTTTTGTTTTTTAACAAATGTAATAAAGTTGTTAACTTTTATGGTATCGTTCAACTGTTGTGATCATGGAACCTCTTAGAAGTATTCTTTGAGCATATGTGTGTCATAAGTAGTATGCATATAGCCAAATATGAATCCAAGACCCAAAGGACCAAGGAGGCTAAAAAGAGATTATTCAAATGTTTCCTAAGGAGAAATAAGTATCTCTTGGAAGGAGTCCCAACAAGAAATAATTAGATTCCAATAATGTCTATCGATTTACAAAGCTTCAAAGATAATTGAGTAATTTTGTTCAAGAAAAATCAAGGGAAGGAAGATTTTCAAGGCTTACCTTCTCTTTATGCAGATCATAACTTGAGCTATGAGTATATGATTGAGGCGTGCTGATATTCGTTAGAAAGCTAAGAGAAAAGTATATAATTTTCATGTTGATGTCAGAGGCCAATTTAGAGTGCATGAGAGTCAAATAATTAGTTTTAGTTCCAGACTTAATGAAAATAAAGTAGTAATTAGTTTTGGGTCAAACTTATATTTTTCGGACCGGTGCTCTTAAAATTCAAACCTTTGTTATATTTATTTTCAATTTAGAAATAAGAATATGAGAGGTCATATCACATAATTTATAACACAGATTTGTTTGAAGATTTTTCTCACGTAACTAACTAAACATCTCTTTCGATTTGTTGTTTCGTCAATTCATCAAAACTGGATGTTTTTATGTTATATCGTTAATCTCATTATTGATATTCCTTTCCTATTGTTTTTTTTATATTATAATGCTTAATTTGAATTCTGATAGAATTGATAAGATTTAGTGTGATAGAATTTGGTTACTTAGAACATAATTGATATATTATAGTTTTACTACGCTTGATTGTTTAACTACAACTCATCGTCGATTGTGATTCTTTATCCGGTAATAGGAACTAAAATTCACAAAGGGTATATTGACGCTTGCTTAATATATTGTATAGAAAAACAAGATTATAATAGATATTAGAGATTAAATCAAAGAATTGATAGTTCAGAGTTATTGATTCAACGGATCGATTGATTTTTACTCATACACATCTTTATCGAATTTCACTAAAAATAAAAACTCCCTTTATAAATTTATTGATTCTAAACTTTAGGTAATTGAATTATAAGTCCTTGCAATATGACTCAAGTTTCTCTTCTCTAAACTACATTTTTGTTAACCCGTTTTTGACCTGTGTTCAACAACGGATCAATCTATGAGCTTTAATTTTCTGCCTTTTTGTTATGCCAAAGGGGGAGAAGTATACTCTCAGGGGGGGAGTAGAGTATACTATATAGTTAATTGAGGGGGAGTGGAGTATACTATATACTTAATTGAGGGGGAGTTTAATCACTCCAATATATATTTGTGTATTTTTACCACCTCCCTTTGAGATAAGTTGTCATCATCAAAAAAATGGGTGAATATGGATCTATGTGCTTGCAGGTATAAGGTTAATAATATCGCTACATAAGATCTGTTATGGATTGGGCCTCTGGCTGTCCCACCATCGGGCACGGCCAAATACAGTGCTAACTCAAAGAATGCCCAACGAAATGGATTACATCGTCGTGACCGTTAGGGACATTTCCCCATGTGCCCCTCCAAAGACACGTGGCCTACTACCCTTCATATCCCAAGGAGTTGTTATGCCCTACATGAAAAATGAGTCTTCTACAATCCAAGGATCACGGTGAAGTTGACCCAAGACAAAGACCATGTGCTGGTCTTCCCTACCCAGGTAAGATTCTAGAAACCACCTATTCTGGGCCTGGGAATCTAGCTCATAATGGGGACCTTGGCCCAGTGATGGGTCTCTATAAATACCCTCATTCACTTGAGGGTCAGGTATTTTATTTTATTCACTCTTACCTTATGCACTTGTTCTCTTCACTCTGAACCTCACTTTGGCATCAGAGTATCTTACAGGTACACCCCCCCCCCCCTCCATTTTTTTCTAACAACCGTTGAATACCAAGAGTTGTAGACCACTAAAGATCCTTCTGATCCTGGTAATATCAGTGGCACCGTCTGTGGGAATCCTTTGATCCTCCGTTTTGGGAAAAAAATTCTAATGTTTTCTAGGCCAAATCTTCATGGATTTTATGAAGTTTTTACATGCTTAAACATTTAGAATCATTGTTATAAATATGCAATCCTATTCCCTTCCTTTGCATAGTCTCTTTCTCTTCTTTTTGTGATTTCTCTATTCTTGTTTTTTTATCTTTGTGTGTGTGAGAATACTATACTAGTACACCAAAATCATCATCATGGCACCCAAGAGATTAATAGTTCCATCTTTTGCATATCTATATGATGAATTCTCATCTCAAGAACAAGAAAGGAGATTCTTTCAAGAATACGCAAATAGTATGGTTTTAGGCGTTCATACCTTGAATGCAAAAATATTTTAAAAATGTGAATTCTTCTAAATGCTTGAAGAATTAAACTAAAAGGTGTTTGTCTGCAACTCTTTGAAAGAAGTATATTCATCCTTAGTAAAGATGGTTTATTCAAATCTATACTTCATATATGGGATTATTTACTTCGAAGTTAGAAACACGAGATATCTCTACCTTTGGAAGAATTTTCAGAAGTTTTAGATATACCCTATTATGGACCTTATTTAAAGGAAGATGAACCAGAAGAAGATGATAACTACATGTATAAGAGCATCACTTCCTCTTTTTTATTAGATTTAAATTCTTGTATCTATTCTTTATTCACTGTAGGCTCTATGTGTCAGATATTTTCCTCATTCATTATATTGAAAACCATATACTTTTTTCAAGGAATAGTAACTTTAGTCACTTATCCAAATCTAATGTTGCCACAATGTGGTTAATCACAAACAAAGTTGAGACAAATTGGGAAAATGTTGTGATCCAACACATGTTAAGGCGCAAATGGAAAGGAATGTGGCTTCCATATGGTGGCTTGATCACAAATATCTTGGAACATGTCAGGTTCAACTTTGAAGGAGAAGTAGTGGTGCAATATGTAAAAAAAAAATAGGAGAGGGGGCATTAGGGTCATTGTGGTACAAAATTGCCAATAGGGAGATATTTCAAAAGCCCCCCAATGGAAAGAAAAGGTTTATGGAACAAATAAGAAGCTTTTTTAGATCTGGAAGATTTTGACTATGATATCCCTAAAATATCACTGGTTAAATATCTACTCAAAGACATTATCAAGAGACAGGACTGACTGGTAAGAAGATCAACTTTCAGACCTATCACTTTGTCTAATACTTATAGCATCTACCTTCAAGATTGTTCTCTGATTATGATGAGGATACTGAATAGTAGTCCCACTTATGTGTTTTTGTTTTAGCAATTAAGTGTGTCTAAATTTCTAGATTTCCTACTTTTTGTACTTCAAAATATCTTTTAA